ATTTCCCTCAGAATTCTGACTTCTTTTTATTAAGTTCACTTTTTCCTCAGAATTTAATTTTTTCCAGAAATTCATTTTATTTTTATTTTAGCTTTTTTCATTGTTTGAATTTTTTCTCATTTGAATTTTCATCAGAATTTCACTTATTTTTCAGAATTCAGATGTTAGAGGTGTGTGTGTGTGTGTGTGTGTGTGCGTGCGTGTGTGTGTGTGTGTGTGTGTGTGTGTGTGTGTGTGTGTGTGTGTGTGTGTGTGTGTGTGTGTGTGTGTGTGTGTGTGTGTGCGTGTGTGCGTGTGTGTGTGTGTGTGTGTGTGTGTGTGTGTGTGTGTGTGTGTGTGTGTGTGTGTGTGTGTGTGTGTGTGTGTGTGTGTGTGTGTGTGTGTGTGTGTGTGTGTGTGTGTGTGTGTGTGTGTGTGTGTGTGTGTGTGTGTGTGTGTGTGTGTGTGTTGTGTGGTGTGTGTGTGTGTGTGTGTGTGTGGTGTGTGTGTGTGTGTGTGTGTGTGTGTGTGTTGTGTGTGTGTGTGTGTGTGTGTGTGGTGTGTGTGTGTGTGTGTGTGTGTGTGTGTGTGTGTGTGTGTGTGTGTGTGTGTGTGTGTGTGACCTTGATCTGCCCTCTGCTGCAGGGCTCACTACACACTGATCTCACGACGTTGCTCTTGTTCATCATCATCAGATCTTCGTCTAGCTTCAGGATTCCTTCGTGCCACGAACCGACGTTTATGTAGTCGAAGTCGCCCGACTCCACCTGCTGGAAGTTCATGATCTCATACCTGGGGGGGAGGAGTTAAAGGGGGAGGAGTTAGAAGGGGAGGGGTTGGAAGGGGGAGGAGTTAGAGGGTTAGAAGGGGAGGGGTTAGAAGGGGGGGCTTAGAAGGGGAGGGGCTAGAAGGGGAGGGGCTAAAGGGAGGGGTCACGCACCTATCAGCGAGTAAACTGAATCACATTTTTTGTCTTATTTTATCCACAAAGATCTGAACAGCTCCTCCTCACCTCCCTGGAGAGTCTCCGTTCTCGTCGAACCAGATGTCCTCCCCGGAGACCCCGGTGAACGAGGTCTTCAGCAGGAAGTCCAGAAGATGGCTGCCGTCCACGGGCTTCATGTTGTCGCAGAGCCCCCCCCCCGCGCACAGCAGCGCCTGCATGTCGTGCAGACCGTGGGCCATGGCGTAGATCGCATTGATCACGAAACCCATCTTACTGTCCTGCACGTAGTTCTCCTCCAGACTCTCGTACCCTGGAAAGAGGGAGAGAAGGTGAGAGGGGTGAGGAGACGTCAAAGTACTGCAGGAGGAGAGATTAGTGAGGGGGGGGGTCTGCAGGGTACAGAGCAGCATGGCACTCAGAGAGACACCTACCAACTGAGAGACCACACACACTGCAAACACACTGAAAGGTGTTCTCATCAGACGCTCAGCAGCTGCAGAGCGGACAGGAAGCTGAGCTCCTCCGACATGTGCAAGAAAATACTACATCAAATAGTGCAGAAAGTCTAAATACATGTAAATAGAATATGAAATTAAATAATGAACATTAAGACAAAATTAAATACTGTTTGATGCGGAGATAACTATTTAGATCAAAGGGACAAAACCAGAACAAAGACACAAAACGAGACAGAAAATAAACCAAAAGCAACTAAACTAAACTAAACGACCTCAAAGGAACACAAAACAAGGACAACACCCAGAGACCTACACATATATACGAAACAAACACACAGACACAAAACAAACAAACAAAGACACACAAGGACATTAGAAAAGTGTGAAGAGTAAACAAAGGACAACGAGAGGCTGTCATCTCTGGAGTGTCGCTCTGAGCCAATCTGTCCATGTGTGTGTGTTTGAGTAAAGATCATCAGGTGAACGTGAGAGAAGAGGAGAGAGTTATCACAGATCATTATTCTACACACACACACACACACACACACACACACACACACACACACACACACACACACACACACACACACACACACACACACCACACACACACACACACACACACACACACACACACACACACACACACACACACACACACACACACACACACACACACACACACACACACACACACAGTTGATGCAGCTGAAGCAGAGGAAGCAGCTTTAGACGTGTAGAGGAAGACACCATGCCATGTCTTGTCTTCATAGTGAGTACACGGTGTGTATGTTTCTAATATATTGAATGTCATGCAATGTTTTTTGCAATGTGAGCATTTATTAATAAATACATTATATCTATTTACATCAATCAATTGATATATTATTGATTTAATTTAATTATTTTTTTCTATCATATTTTCATTTGACCTGGATCCATTTACGTATTTTATATTTATAATGTG